AGAAAAACTTATCGGCCGATGCCGATATTTAAAAAATGCCAAATATCGGCCGATATATCGGTCGACCACTAGTTCACATTGCACGATGGATCGGCGACAGGAGGTTACACACTGCATGACTTTACAATAGGAAGAATCACAGACAACTCTGCCTCGTCCGCAAACTACATTTCACAACCAAACGCACGCGAGACTGGAAGTGTTTTCAAAATGGTAGCCTGCAAGAAGTTCACTATACAAATGTGTCCCTGGAACACAAAAACAGTCATAAGGGTCAATTTTTCTAAATTGAGATTTATGCATCATCTGAAAGCTGAATAAATAAGCTTTCCATTGATGTATGGTTTGTTAGGAGATGCAACTATTTGAAAATCTGGAATCTGAGGGTGCAAAAAAATCTAAATATTGATATTGCTACAAATATACCCCAGCGACTTAACACTGCTTTCTTATTGATTCCTAGTTTCCATTCCAATAAGATAAAAAGTCAAACATTTAGATGTCAAACATTTATTCTGTCTTTTTGCAAAGCATTCTGTTGCAGCTGAATAACACAAGCAAAAATACAGAACACTTACAAGAGGAACTTTTGCCTATGCTTTTAACAAAAATACCACAGCAGTTTACAGTGTTACCTTTTAGCTGCAACAACAACACTTTATTTTGATAGCCCACTTTAGTCGTTCTACTAACAGTAAGTAAATTTGCAACTATATGTCAACTAGCAGTCATTAGAGTATTAGTAGACTGTCTGCTTAATATCTTCTAAAACTCCACAACATACAATATACCGACTATTAGAAACTTTGCAAGGAAAGCGAGAAAAAGAGGGAAAATTTCCAAGAACCGGGTATTCGATAAGACGCGTGCATTTCGATTCTGCTTAACTTTTCCTGCGTTTGCATTTTAATGTGATTTAAAACGATTTCAGTGCAGGAACGGAAAGAACTGTATAACAGAGAACAGCGGTCTCGGTGTGGTTTGTGTCCGTTCTCGGACCGTTCTGTGCATTTCACTGCAGGAAAGATTGTTCCGAGCCGGAGCTGACTTCTTTCATATTTATCGACCAGTGTGCAGAAAACTACATCAGTATATCATCATAAACACAGCTGTTTTTTGTCTAAAGTGAAGGTAAACAGATGAGACAGAAAACGCACGAGTACAGTATTTTTATATCTGCGTGCGTTCGGTGTTAAAGAGACAGCAGCCTAATAAACACCCTGCCTGTCATTAATGTTAATCAGAGAACAAAAGAATTAGTTTCTGTACCTGAAATTTGGTTCAGTTGTATTTATTTATGCTTTTGCTAATTGATATGTTTGTTCCTGTTTTATTACTGACTGTTTACTTGTTTAACACTTTAATATTTGAAATTAATATTAGTCTTGTTGTTTTTGCTGTGGTATTTTTGTTAAAAGCATAGGCAAAAGTTCCTCTTGTAAGTGTTCTGTAGGCTGCTGATGCTCGTGTTATTCAGCTGCAACAGAATGCTTCGCAAAAAGACACATAATAATTTTTTTTATATATTGGATTTTTTAACTTATTGGAATGGAAACTAGGAATCAATAAAATTCAAACAATACCCAACCGTCCATGCTCATGGTCCAGTTCAGCCTCTGCAGACGCTGATGTGTGTGTGTGTGTGTGTGTTTCTGCAGTCGAAGCCCTGACGTTCCCCCCGTCCTCGGGAAAGTCCTTCATCATGGGAACAGACGAGACGCTGGAGAGCGAGCTGGGTCTCGGAGAACTGGCCGGACTCACCGTGGCCAACGAGGCCGAGAATCTGTCCTACGACGTGAGTCCAGACACGATAAAAACATTCTCCATACTGGAAACTAAATGCACTTTAACTGAAATAAAATACAATATTTAACAAAAAATCTAAAGTTATTTAATTTCAGCTAGTTGCCAAGGCAACATTTCTCATTTTGTTTAAAGTTGAAGTACTAAAATAACTAAAACAAAAAAAAACTATATAGACATAATAATAAAAAAAACAACTAAAAACTAATAAAAATTGCAAAAAAAATACTAAAAATGTTACTAAAATTACAATGAAAACAGAATATAAAAATAAAGTCTGTTTCAAAATATTAAGAAAAAGTAAAAGATACTATTATAGTTTTTATTAATATTATAATATGTATTGTATATTATAATGTATGTAAATATCATGATGCATATCAGTTTTTATTTTTACAATTTCCACTTTCATTTGAATTTTAAAGTTTAAATAAATACATAAATTTAGTTCAAGTTTAAATAAAAAAGTAAACTTATTTCAGCTTGTTGCAAAGGCAAGACTTCTTATTTTTGTTGAATTACTTAAATAACTAAAACTATGTAATATAAAATACTTTAAAATATATTATATAAAATATAATTATATTTTTAAAAAACTATCAACAAAATTACTAAAAATTAAACTAAAATTAAAATGAAAACAGAAATATAAAAATAAAATTAATTTTAATATAATAAGAAAAACATTATTTTTGATCTCATTATTGAGATACTATTATAGTTTTTATTAATATTTTGAATCAGTTTTTATTTTTATATTCTTCATTTTTAGTTCTCTAGCTATTTTGTTTTTATTATATTTCTCATAAATATAAAACATTTAAAGTTAAACATTAAAAAATTAAACATTTATTAAAATGTGTTTATGGGATGATTGTTACTTTGTTAAAAATGTAACACTTTTATCAGATTGATCGTGTTTATAATCATAATGAAAGCGGTTAGATGATACTTTATTTTATTTTAGTTCATGTTTATTTTATTTTCAAGTAAGTTTTGTGCTTTTAGCTTTAATTTTAGTTACCTGTAATAACCGTGGCGCTCGGCCAAAACTATTTAAGCAAAACATTATTAATATTTTAATTAAGTGAATTGTTTGTTGCAGCTGTAGTGTGCTGATTTATATATATATATATATATATATATATATATATGTGTGTGTGTATATATATATATATATTGTATTTGATACTATGTCAAAAATGGCATGTTTTTAAAGTTAATACACAAATAGTCTGATTGAATAATGAGTCAATGAATAGATATTAAAATGACAGCTGGTATTAATTTCAGTGGAAATGTACTGTATTTGTGAATGTGTTTCCTGCTTTTCTCAGATCACTAATAATAAAGACGCCCTGCGGAAGACGTGGAACCCCAAGTTCACACTCAGAAACCACTTCGATTCGATCCGCGGCCTTGCGTTTCCCCCCATCGAGCCGGTTCTGATCACCGCGTCTGAAGATCACACGCTCAAAATGTGGAACCTGCAGAAAACCGCCCCGACCAAGAAGTGAGAGTCTCATTAAACTGTTAATTATATAGGGTTTTTATTAATATTTGAATTAATGTTTTCAGTTGAATGTTTTGTGCTTTTGTCATTTTATTAGTTTTTTAAAAATAAATTGAAGTTAAACATTAAAGGGATAGTTCACCTTCAGTTGCTGGTCTCCATTGACTTCCATAGTATGGGGAAAAAAACACTATGCAAGTCAATGGGGACTAACTAAAGGTGAACTATCCCTTTGATATTTATATCAGTTTTTTATTAGTTAATTTATTTTTATTTCAGTATTCATTTAGTGTTTTATTAGTTTTTTAATATTACTATTTAGGTTTAATTTATTTTATTTTTTTATTTCAGAGTTTTTTTTTTTTAATTGTTTTTTATATTACCATTTAGGTTTAATATAACTATTTACTAGTGCTGTCAAACGATTAATCGCATACAAAATAAAAGCTTTTATTTACATAATATATGTGTGTGTACTGTGTATATTTATTATGTATATATAAATACACACATACAATACAGTATATATTTTGAAAATATTTGCATGTATTTACATGTCTATATTCATATAATTTATATTATAAATAAATATATTTAATAAATAAACATTACCTATTTTTCTGAAATATATACATGCGTGTGTATTTATATATACATAATAAATATACACAGCACACATACATATATTATGTAAACAAAAACTTTATTTTTGATGCGATTAATCGTTTGACAGCACTACTATTTACATTTAAATTGTTTTTTTTATTTCAGGTTTTTTTATACGTTTTTTTTTATATTACTATTTAGGTTTAATTTCTTTTTATTTCAGATTTTTTCATGTTTTTTTTTTTTATAGTACTATTTATACAATACTATTCATGTTTAATTAGTTTTTATTTCAGTTTCAGCATTAAGTTAGTAATTTTATTTCAGAAATGTTGTAATAGTTCTAGTTGTAGTTAAGGATAATAACCCTGTGCTGGGCTCGGGTCGGTCAGTGTAACTGGTTGTTGTTGTTTCAGGTGCGCCGCTCTGGATGTGGAGCCCATCTACACGTTCAGGGCTCACAGGTACGTGTGAATGCTCACACTTTCATATTTATCGACCAGTGTGCAGAAAACTACATCAGTATATCATCATAAACACAGCTGTTTTTTGTCTAAAGTGAAGGTAAACAGATGAGACCGAAAACGCACGAGTACAGTATTTTTAGATCTGCGTGTGTTCGGTGTTAAAGAGACAGCAGCCTAATAAACACTCTGCCTGTCATTAATGTTAATCAGAGAACAAAAGCAACATGACTGAATCTCTTTAATAACTTTAATTAATTAATCTATATTTTATAACAAGAAAACTATGTAATGTTTTTAAACTTTTAATTAGTTTCTGTACCTGAAATTTGGTTCAGTTGTATTTATTTATGCTATTTCTAATTGATATGTTTGTTCCTGTTTTATTACTGACTGTTTACTTGTCTTTAACACTTTAATATTTGAAATTAATATTAGTCTTGTTGTTTTTGCTGTGGTATTTTTGTTAAGCATAAGCAAAAATTCCTCTTGTAAGTGTTCTGTAGGCTGCTGATGCTCGTGTTATTCAGCTGCAACAGAATGCTTCGCAAAAAGACACAGAATAAATGTTTGACTTTTTTTTAATTGTCCTGATTGAGATGTTTTGTCTTATTGGAATCAAAACTAGGAATCGATAAGAATCGGAATCTATAAAATTCAAATGATACTCAACCCTAATAACCGTCCTAATGCGGTCTGTGTCTGATGTTGTTCTGGTCTGGTCTGGTGTCAGGGGTCCGGTTCTGTGTGTGGTGATGAGCTCCAGTGGTGATCAGTGTTTCAGCGGCGGTTTGGACGGGACCATTCAGTGCTGGAACACACCGAACCCCAACATCGATCCGTACGATTCATACGGTACGTCCCTTTTCCCCTGCAGACATCAGTGTGTGTCTGTGAGTGAGTGTGTAACACATCTGTGACCCCCTGGACCACAAAACCAGTCATAAGGGTCTTTTTTTTATTGAGGTGTATGCATGAATAAATGAATAAATGTGCTTTCCATTGATGTATGGTTTGTTAGGATAGGACAAAATCTGAAAATCTGGAATCTGAGGGTGCAAAAAAATCTAAATATTGAGAAAATCATCTTTAAAGTTGTTCAAATGAAGTTCTTAGCAATGCATATTACTAATCAAAAATTAAGTTTTGATATATTTACGGTAGGAAATTTACAAAATATCTTCATAGAACATGATCTTTACTTAATATCCTAATGATTTTTGGCATAAAGGAAAAATGGATAATTTTGACCCATACAATGTATTGTTGGCTATTGCTACAAATATACCCCAGCGACTTAACACTGCTTTTGTGCTGCAGGAACACATATAAAAGTGACTATTTCAAAAACATTCGAAACACTCCTGACATTGTAATTGTAAACAAGGCTTTGAACTCTGTATTTGTCATTGAGGTTGCTGTTGCAAATATGGAAACGAAGATGTTTTGTTTATCCTTGAGTGTTAAATGTTATAAATATAAGTACTTGTGAATGTATGTTTGCCATGTGTATCTGTCATCTTGCAAAATTACTTTCCAAGGTATTTGGATTCGGTTTTTGTTGCTTGTCTTGTGGATCCAAATAAAATAATAAAATGTGTGTCTGTTGTAGAGCCGTCGGTGCTGCGGGGGGCGCTGTCTGGACACACAGATGCGGTCTGGGGTTTGGTCTACAGCTCGGCTCATCACAGACTGCTGTCGTGCTCCGCCGACGGGACGGTGAGGCTGTGGAGCGCAGCGGATACAACGCCCGCCATCGCTGTCTTCAACGAGAACAAAGGTACTAAACACACACCCCAAAACAACTATTATAAAACAGATAGTTCTGGTGCCTTATTCTGATTGGCTGAGCCACGTTCAAAGCTGTTGTAAATTACTCTACAAACACACACCTTTGTTTACTTCTGTGTGTTGCTTGGCAACCACTTTGTTGCAACCACAACTGTTTCTGAGGAACTACATTGTTTGGTGGAAGAACACTGTTTTTATTAATATCATTACACTTTATTTGCTCTGTTTTATTTTGTGAAATCTTACTACGTATATGGAATAACCGTTTTATAAAAGCAATAAGCCCCGTGAAGCCATGGTTTACAGTGAATTTATAACAGCTAAGGCTTCTTCTTTCAAATTAATGTACAAACAACATAAATACAGTATATTTTTTTAAATTTGTTTGCATCTTTTTTTATTCAGATTTTTTCACCCTTATATATAACCATTGACTATAGCCATTCTACATTAAAGTATAAATGAGAGCTATCAATTTTAACATTTATTAGACTTAAAAAAATAACTTAATTTAACTTAAAACAATCTTCACATAAACCCATTATAATAAATGTCATATTTAGTTACCTGTGCCCTTCAGCGAGTTGGAGATATACAGAAATTGAATAAAGTTATCAAACATTAAATTCTAAATTAAATATAGATAAATCCTTAAAGCTACAACAGTTATTGATTTCCTCTTTTTTCTTTTGATCTTTGATGAACAGAATCACAGCAGCTGGTTATTAGGTTATTGGGCTGCTATTACTTTAAGAGCTGAACGTGATGCGGAGCTGACACTGAATGCTCGTAGTTTCATTCACGCTTTAATATGAAATGAAACAGGCTACAGCGCGAGAAGAGCTTGTGCTACAAGCACAGTATAACAGCTGACAGGAAAACTGGTTTTTACTGACATATGCCTGACAACATCTCATCTGATCGCAGTTCACTGTTGTTCTGCTGAAGCTCCTCGTCACCTCGTTACCGTTTCCGCGCTCGTTTGGATCGAAGTTGGATCACGCGTCTGAAAAGTCTACAGTTTGATGTGCTCGTAAAGACATGCTGCACGTCTAAATAAACGCAATTCTTGTCAAGAAAAAAGAGACAGAAGCAGCACCCAAGCTCCGCCCCTGCATTAAATATTTGTAAAAATTTTGAAAAATTAATCGCATGCGTTAACGCGCTAATTTTGGCAGCACTAATTTTATTATATTTTATGTTTGTGAATGATCTTTTGTTTGTTTAAAGAATGAGTTACCACACAAAAATATTTTATTTTATTTTTATGCTATTTAAAATATATTTATTATTATTTTTTTTTTTATTTTTTTTTTTTAGCATTGAAATTGACCCAAATATAACAAAGTCTTAAAGAATTAATGAATGATTTACCACACATCAGTTTACAAAATATATTTTATTTCATTTTATTAATGAATGTCTGTTTTTGTTTGTTTTATTAGTTTTTTTTTACTGTCATTCATGACTTAGATGATACAAAATTTATTTTATTTTTTTATTTTATTTTTATGAATAAATTATCCTTTTTGATCCTTAATTAATGATGATGGCTAGATGATATCAGCACTAAAATGGACCCCAAAATGACAATCTTATAAAATTAAAGTATAATTTACCACACATCAGTTCACAAAGAAAAAATATTTTATTTAGTATTATATTATATTTTTATTTTATTTTATTTTAGCATTAAAATAGACCCCAAAATAAAATATATTTTTAAAAAGTACAACTGCAAACAATTCACTTAATTATTTAAATATTTTATAATTAATTTAAACATTAATAATGTTTTACTTTTTTTTTTTTTTTGACAAACACCTACACTTACTTTGATAGTTATTAATATTTTATTAGCTACAAATATTTTACTATATATATATATATTGTAATTCATCATAAAATAATATTTATTTTATGAATGAATTAATGATCTTTTTTGTTGTTGTTTTTCTTACTGTCATTCATGATGAATTTCAGCATTGAAACAAACCCCAAATTAATAGTCTTTAAAAAATAAAGAACAATTTACTGCACATCAGTTTTTAAAAAAAGTTTATTTTAGTTTAGTTTATGAATTGTGTTTTTTTTTTTTGTCTTTGATTGGTGATTGTTAAGATAATCTCAGCAGTGAATTTTGTGTAAGCACAGACTCATGAATGAGTTGTTTTCTGTGCGGTTCAGAGCTGGGCGTCCCGTCGTCGGTGGATCTGGTGTGCAGTGATCCGGCTCACATGGTCACGGCCTTCACTAACGGCAGGATGGGCATCTTCAACATGGAGACCCGACAGCTGTTGCTGGAGCTCGAGTCGCAAGCCGCCGGAATACCCGGTACTTCACAGACACTTTCTGAGATTTTAGCCACAGGATTCGGTGAAAACAGAAACGTTTCTTGACTCTGGAAACTTGTCTTGTCACACAGTGTCATCATCCCTTTTAGTTTATTGATACTTGACATAAAAAAACCTATCCAGAAAACTCAATAAATGGAATCATAATAGTCTAATTATCAATGAATGGTAAAGTCCCATGATGCTCTCTGACGTTGATGTGTTTGATGTTCAGAGGCGCCGTGTCAGATTAATAAAGTCCTCAGTCACCCGACGCTGCCCATCACCATCACAGCACAGGAGGACCGACACATCCGATTCTACGACAACAACACAGGTGACCGATTCAACTCAGATTAACAGCTTTACTTTATTATTCTTATTATTTTGATTATTGATGTTGTTTTTGTTATTATTATGTTGATTATTATTAGTATTTTAATATATATGTAAATTTATATATACACACACACACACACACAAACGCTACTGTTCAAAAGTTTTGGATTTTTTTTGTTTTTGAAAGAAGTCTCCTCTGCTCACCAAATACAGTAAAAACAGTGAAATATTATTACTATTTTAAATAAAAAAAATTCTATGTGAATCTATGTTAAAGGGGTCCTATTATGCTTTTTCACTTTTTCAACTTTAGTTAGTCTGTAATGTTGCTGTTTTTTCTTAACCATGTAGCAAACATTTTTAAATATCTTGAAAAAATACTTTAATGTCTTTAAAGCGTTGACACTTTTTCGTTTAATACATTTGGCCAATATCTTGTTAGAAAAGATTATGCTGTATTGGATATTAGGGTTGTGACGGTGAGGAAATTTTCCCACCGGTTAATCGACGTGTGACAACACCGGTAATACCGGGATCACCGTGGGAACGGCAATAATACAGAGGAACGCATTAACAGAAACGTTAAAATACCGATTCTGCTCTGAGTGAACGATTGAATTTTTTTTAAACCCTGCTTACAACATTTCTTTTTTAGAAATCATATACATATATTATATATATATATATATTCTTATTCTTAGAAAGCTATTGTTATTGTTCATTTGATTATGTTGATTTTTATGTATAAATATTCATATATGTTGCTGTTTCTTCTCAGGCAAGTTGATTCACTCTATGGTCGCTCATCTGGATGCTGTCACCAGTCTTGCGGTGGATCCCAACGGTCTCTATCTGATGTCTGGTAGTAAGTACTCGAGAACATGTCAAGTCATGCAAACACTTGTATTGGTGTTCTTTTATCAGGTAAAGGCCATAAACGGGTCAAAGAAAACTCCAAAGACATCAGTTTGGCCTGTTACTCTGATTTTGCTTTGCATATAAGATCTAGATTGTTCAGTTTATGATGTGTGCATGTATGTTCATGGTTTGACGTCACAACTTGATGGAAAACATGGTGCTTTTCTTGCATTTTCGGTATTTTTATTATAATAAGTAGGGCTGTGTTCATTTATTGTGTTAATTTGATGTGATTAATTATGAAAAAAATAATGTGTTAAAATGATTAATGCATTTAACATAGTCACCCCATGTTTTTGAATCAATCGAGTAAGTCAGTGATTCAGTGACTCATTCATAAATGCAGTCACTTGCTTTGTTTCTGAATGAATCCATGTTTTTGAATGAATCGAGTGAGTCAATGATTCAGTGACTCATTCATAAATGCAGTGACTTCCTTTGTTTCTGAACAAATCTAAGTTTTTGAATGAATCGAGTGAGTCAATGATTCAGTGACTCATTCACAAAGACAGTCACTGGCTTCGGTTCTGTATGAATCTTATGTTTTTGAACAAATCGAGTGAGTCAGTGATTCAGTGACTCATTTATTACTGCAGTCACTTAGTTTCTGAACGAATCTACGTTTTTGAACGAATTGGGTTATTCAGTGATTCAATGACACAGACAGTCACTGGCTTCGGTTCTGAATAAATCAGCCATTTGAACAAATTGAGTGAGTCAATGTTTCAGTGACTCATTCATAACTGGAGTCACTTGCTTAGTTTCTGAACGAATCTACGTTTTTGAACGGATTGGGTGAGGTGGTGATTCAATGACTCATTCATCAAGACGGTAACTTGCTTTGTTTCTGAATAAATCAGGCATTTGAATGAATCGAGCGAGTGAGTGATTCAGTGACTCATTCATAAATGCAGTCATTTCTGAATGAATCAGCTGTCTGAACAAATCAGTTGAATGAGTCGCTCAATGACTCACTCATTATCACAGGGACTTGACGCCACATACAAGCAGTTCATATTTCAATATTCATTAAAAAACCATTAATGCCCATTAGGGATGGCCGATATCTTATCGTTTGTGATATACCGGTAAAAATTTTCCCCCACGATAAGAATTAGTCTTCCCGCAATAATAACGATAAAGCCTAGTTGTTGACATATTTCTGTGTGCGACTTGGCGGAAGGCGGACGTGAAATTGAGCAGGAGTTTATCGCTAAACGAAGAGCTCCTTCTACAATCTGGAACTGGTTTGTTTAGGGCTGTACAGTGCACAAAAAATCAGTCTGAGCCTTGAATAAATGTACTACAGTAGCACAGTTTTGCATGTGTATGAGCCTGTTTACAAACCTGTTGTCCAACAAAGATATCATTTATTGACATGCTTTTTCTCCAAATTAACTTAATAACATAGTCAAGTGTTTGAAATAACTTCTTTTTGTGACCAGACGTGGTTTCATATTACAGAATGATAAGTGTTATATACAGTGATAAAGGCTATGTCAATTAGCATTGCATTATAAATATACTTTCCTTATAAAAATACCCAAGTTTGCTTGAAGAACACAGATAAACCATATATTTTGTGCAATCGTATGTTTATTGTCTTCAAGTTTCATCAGTTAAAATCTCCGATGTGCGTTTTATTCAGCGATAACTGGATGCCTTTGTCCATATTAGGGATTTCCTGGAGCGTCGCCAGTGCTATTACTTCTGCATGCATGTGGAGTTTCTGCGCAAGAGCGCCCTCTGGCTTCCAGTATGAATTAAACGGTCATTACATGACGTGTGTACTCCGTAATGCTCACAACACCCTATTTTGGGTAAAAATAGGAAAAATAACACTTTTCTCTAAAGAAACAGGATTCCCTGAATTATTGTCATTGATCGCATTATCGCAATAAATTCCAGAAATATCCTGATGTATATCCCTAATGCCCATTTATGTGTTGTTGAATCAAAATATTTCTTTCTAAAGCTACTTTTTCTTGTAATGTCTATTCAGTAATACTAAGCTGATGTTGATTGTGTCTCAGGTCACGACTGCTCGGTGCGTCTGTGGAACATGGAGAGCAAGACGTGCATCCAGGAGTTCACGGCTCACAGGAAGAAGTTCGATGAGTCCATCAACGACGTGGCGTTCCACCCCACCAAGTGCTACATCGGCAGCGCAGGAGCCGACGCCCTCGCCAAAGTCTTCGTATGACCTTCGACCTTTGACCAAAACTGCTTCCGCAAACTGATGCACGGTGAGGCCTGAACTCGCTCTGATGATCCGGGCAGGCCTGGGTGCTGGAGGGGAGGTCAACAAATACGGAGGAACCTCCAGACCTCCTCCGTTCAGCCTCACAGGAAGTTGGGTGCTTTCCACACTTCTGCAGTTTTAGTTCTCCTCTCTGGTTTTCCCGTCTTGCGTTCGCTCCTTTTTAACGACGTGCCTTTTGCTACAAACAGTCTCGAGAAACGCGGATTCCCATAGAGGGAAAACGACCCCTGTCGATGTTTTGAACTCACCAAATGCGTCAAATTATTCAGGTTTCTCACAAAATCTCGATGGGATACACGTGAAATTAAATGCATTGAATTAAAAGACTCGCATTTAATGCTTCTCTTGTCTGGCAGACAATGAATTCTAATTGTACATAACATAACATAAAAATAACTTGCCGTACTAAATTTCTACACGTTTGTGTCCAAATATAAATCCACCATCGTCCGACTCATTTCGCCCCAAAATCAAGAAAATAAAGCCTGTTTTTTTGCATTGTGGCATTGTTTATAAAAAGTCAGAATGTTAAACTATTAGGTCTAGAAACCTTCTTTATAATTCTGTGATTTTGTGGTGAAATACGTCCTGGATGATGTTCTTGAGATTCAAGCGTCAACTCTAAACACTCCAAAGCCGTTCACCATCAGGACGTACGTCTCAATTCAGTGCTGCGTTAAATATTTAAGCTGTTATTTTACGCATAAACCTGCAGTTTCTCCTGAGGCTTTGCAGTCGATCCAGTAAAACTCGCCTGTTCTGTGAAATCATCTCAACATTGTGATGTACCACCAAACATGGAGGCAAAATTTTAGATTTAGAGCCGTTACTGAATATTCGTTGAACTTAGTCAAGTGGTAATGCGCAGAAGTCTTATAATAGTTTGAATGTGTTGCAGTTTTTGACAAGCTGTACTCAAAAGTACAATGATTCGGAAGTCTATATTTGTCTGAAATCTGTTGTAATGTTTATTTATTTTTTGCCTTTTTTTTTACTTGTTTTGCCTGTAATGCCAAATGCATTAGGATTTCGCTTCAGGATGGGACGAGCGGCTACGTTACGTACATAAACACCTTCATCTGACGTCAGTATCGCTCACTCATCCTCACCTTCTCTACCTGCACAGGTGGTGGTTTGTGTATTAGATTTGAAATCTATTTTATATGTAATAGTTTGAAGCGGATACTAGTGTTTTTTTATCATTGTGTGACTGGTGACTGAGGTTGCAAACAGATCGTAACCCGAGTTTCCTGCAGGTTGAGGTTTTTTATTTAAACTCTTCTGGTTTATTTGAATTTGTCTGTGATTACTTGAACTATCTGGGTGTGCGTGTGTGTTTTTAACTGCTAGGGTAGAGATTTTCTGCTTTTATCGGGAATCGTTTGCCTTTAACTGATGACATGAGCACTACAAGACGAGTGGAGTGTTTGTGCGTTTCCTTCAGGTCTGTGAAAAGTGACACGAGTTTGCTTCTCTACCAAATGATGATAAAGGACTAGTTTAGACAAACATGAAATCCATCACTGTTTACTCACCTTCATGTCACTGCAAACCTATGGAAGCTTGTTTCTGACACAGGATAAAGAAATGTCGGAAAAACTTGCAATTGCTTATTTTTCTCAGAATTATGGGTTTTTATCTTACAATTGTTTTTTTCCCTGCCACGATTTAAAAAAAGAGCTTATTGCGACTTTTTACTCAAAATTCAGTTTACATCTCGCAATCTTTTTCGCCACAGAATAAAAAAATTAAGTAAATGCAGATTTTTATTTCATAATTTGGACTTTTAGAATTGTAAGATCTAAAATCGTGAGATAAAGTCACAATTACATTTTTTTTGAGTCAAAAGTTGCAAAAAATGAAATTTCAAGATGTAAACAGTTTTTATCTTATCTTTTAAGATAAAAAGTCGCAATGGCCTTTTTAAAAAAAAAATTAAATTCTATGGGCAAAAAAAAACATTTAAATTATGACCATCACAATACAAGGAAAATTTTGATTAATGAGTTTATTTCTTGCAATTTAGAGTTTATATCTTGTAATTCTGACTTTGACAAGTATATATCCGAATTGCATGATAATAAAAAGTCGCCATTACCTTTTTTTATTTATTCCATGGCAGAAATTTAAAAGAATTGCAACTCAAAATTCTCAGAAAAAAAAAAAAGTCAGAATTGCGAGATGTTAACTTAGAATTGCGAGGAAACTTGCGAGTTTATATATTATGAGTTTATATTAAACTCAGAATTGCAACTCACGATTCTGAGAAAAAAAGTCTGAATTGATGTTGTTTACATCTCGCAATTCTCATTTTTTCTGAGTTTATATCGCAATTCTGAGGTTTTTCTCACAATTAAGACTCGTAATCCCAGAATTGCAAGTTTACATCTGAATTGTGAGAGAAAAAATGGAAATTACCTTTTTTATTTTTTTATCCAATTGTGAAAACGGCCTTCCATACAAACAAAACGATGAACGCCTGAGCTGCTCCTTTACATTTTAAGGTGTGAAAAACAGAAGCTGCCTCACATTTATCGTTGCATTAAATGGAGATAAAAATAAACAGGATTTGATCGACATGACGGTGATTAAATAGTTATTTTTTTCATTTTTGCATTCTATTCCTTTAAAATCCGAGGCGCGTTTGACGTTAAGCTCGTGCACAGAGCGCTGGTTTGGGACGTTGCTAGGGAACCGCGTGCGTGCGCGACCAAGTTTTCGTACTAGTAAATATATTTTCTGATTTCGTTCATTTTGGTGCGTATTAATTTTAGATATATAAGAAAGAATCTCAATATGTATAGTTTTAAAGTATTGAACAACAATCTATTTATGAACCAGAATACAGTGTATATTAACCTGCGAAGCTAATAGTGAAGATTAACTAGTCGTGCGGGAGAGTTTAGTTTGCGCCACCTGCTGGTCAGAGATGGAAACTGTACAGCTGACTCAGCTACTGAAGATACTAAAGTGCTATTGATCAACGCGATTTGATTATTTGGTTACTGATCGATTGACGTGCTTACCGGAAACATCAAGAGTATTCGAAGGGAACGATGATGCGATTTGATTGGACGATCAGACGATGACGTCATGACGGGACTTTTAACCCTTTGGTTGTTGTATAGAGAGAGTTTGGAAAGATCCTGTTAATAAATGCTATACTCCTCTTGTACATATTTTATTATGGATATTACTGTTTATTCTTGATTTCTCGTTGTATTCTCTTTTTTTTTTTCCTCAGATGGACATTTATCAATATAATACAATAATAAAAGAATATGTTGTATTTCATATGCGTTTGGGTTTTGTGTTTGTGAGTTTTTTTCTGTTTACAGGTTCCTGCGCTGATGGAAAACTCTGGTTAATGGTGAATAGGCATTTTCTTCATGCACTTAACTCTTAATGAATGCACTTAATTTGTGAGTGTAATATGTTTGTAAATTATATTTAATGATTTAAAATCAAAAATTTAAGCCGGGGACCTCTGGTTGAGTTAACACGGAATGACGCATTATTAAAATTAGCCAAATCTAATAGTGGGTCATTGAATGTCAAATCAACCAGAGGTCCCCTGCTCAAATTTTTTGATTTTGCTAATATTTTTTCTGAAGAAAAATAAACATGTATAGTGATGAAAGGCAAAATATTAAATGTCACAGATGTATATTTACCGAGTAATGCACTATTTTGAAGAAGGGGGTCAAAATGGCAATTTTCACCTGAGATTCAGAGCCAAATTACAGGAGGATAAAATGACTTCAGAAAGATGGCAGCATCATAATGTTACTTTTACACCGAGATTGATAACTCTATTAGTAAAATCTGTTGACTTTAGCAATCTGTGTTGCATTATGTGCCAATGGTGACCGTTCAAAAATGGGGAAAGAGCACTTTTCAAGTTTTTTCTCCAAAGTTTGCAGGCCTGTAACTCAAGAAGTATTAAAGATATCTTAATGCCCTTTTAGATTTAGCATCTTAACAAACTTTTCTTTTGGCATCTTAATTTTTAAGGCCCTGTATGGTTCAGGTTCAGAGATACTGGAATCTCAATATGGCTCCAGGAGTAAATTGTTGCATTTTCAGTGGTCAAAAACCAAATGTTGGTTATAATTAAGAAATAATACTTGTTGAGTTACAGGCGTGCAAACTTTGGAGAAAAAACTTGAAAAGTGTGCTTTCCCCATTTTTGAACGGTCACCATTGGCACATAATGCAACACAGATTGCTAAAGTCAACAGATTTTACTAACGGACCAACCAATCTCTGTGTAAAAGTAACATTATGATGCTGCCATCTTTCTGAAGTCATTTTATCCTGCTGTAATTTGGCTCTGAATCTCAGGGGAAATTGTCATTTTGACCCCCTTCTACAAATTAGTGCATTACTCAGTAAATATTCTTCCATGACATTTAATATTTTGGCTATCATCACTATACATGTCTATCTTTCTTCAGAAAAAAATATTAGAAAAAATCTCAAATTTGAGTTGATTTGACAGAATGATCCTATAGTGTATAGCAGTTTTCTTCAACGCTGTACTATGATTTGTGATGATCTATATTCATTTTTATGAATTTCAGTATGTAGAAATGGACTGATCTACTATAAGATGAAATCACAGTCTGTATTAATAGAAGCACTGCTTCGTGAAGCTTCGAATCTTTTGCGAATCGTTTGTTTAGGACCAGTGATTCGGAGCGCCAAAGTCACGTGATTTCAGTAAAGCTACCAAACGTCATTTCGAAATTTCAATCTCGGATCGGTTTTTTAAATTTGTAGATATTTTAATAAGACATTTGAGTATTTAAGATGAAGAGTAGTAATCAATTGTCTCTTATTGGCCTGTTTAGACAAGCTCTCCATAACACGAACAAAACCCCTGAAAACTAATGTACAGACACTTCATATTTGGTATTAGATGATCATTTAATTGCATCTAATATATAATACTTTCAATGAACATTTGCAATTGGTTCGTAAAAGGTGTTTTTATGCACGTCTGGCTTGAGTTTTTGTTGCATTCACACCGTTTTGAGCAGCAGGTGTCACGAGCGCTTCGAAACAGTGAATCATTTTGCAAAGCAAGTGGTTCAATTGAATCAAAGCTTGGAAAAGATTCGGTTCGCCCATCACTAGTGCAGTCTGAGATCCGTATGCGAAAGGCAGAGATGCTGTTGCAGTAGTTCGGTTTGGCCACCAGATGGTGCTGCAGGATCAGTTTAAAACACATGCGATTAAACGATATTATACATGCTTGGACCTGCAAAACTTATAACTAAAAGCAGTCGTTGCCAGAAAAGATTTTTTTTTTCTTTATACTTTTCTCCATTATATAAGTACTTTTATTGCATTCATTTCTTTAGTCTTTTTTTTTTCTACTACTACTAGTAATAATAATATATTTTATGTTTTATTTCTTATGTTTTATATCATATCTCTTCTAAGAACTACATATACATAATGCATATTTATTTATTTATTTATTTTGATGATGATAATAATAATAAAATACTAATAGTAATTATTTTTTTCTTTTTTAATCTTATTTTTTTTAAACAATTGATAGATCAACCGTTAAAAGATTAGCCTCTCATGAAGCTTAAATTCATTTCTTTGTTTTTTGTCACTCTGAATGAAGGTGTATAATGTATACTTTTCAGTCGTTTGTGCTGTTTGTCTTGCAGTTATAGTCCCAAAAAAAACAATGAGGGTTTATTTATTCACATTTTAAATGGTTGCTGGTTTTTATGATTCCAGTACCTTTTAAAAATAGAAAGAGTTCAGCTAAACCTCATAATAAAATATCATTAGGGTTTGAAACCACATGAGTGCGTGTGAATGACATTTCCATTTTATGTGAACTATTTTATTCTCGTGCAAATGCAAGTAAAAAGTCTTCATGATTCTTATTTTCAGCTGTTTTCTGTTGATCTGGTTTATATAAGCAGGCCCAATCATTACAGGTGAGATTCTGCGGCTCAGAGACTGGAAGATTTATGGTGCCGTGACTCCTGCTTTTATTCTGATCACGTCAATGGTTTGGTTTAATTAAATGCAAACATAAAAGATGCAGCCTTTAATATGCACACTCTTTACACTCTGCATACTTTAATATGCACACTCCATACCAAAGCACATCTGTGACCCTGGAGCACAAAACCAGTCGTAAGCATCAATTTTGTGAAATTGAGATGTATGCATCATCTGAAAGATGAACAAATAAGCTTTCCATTGATGTATGGTTTGTTAGGATCGGACAATATTTGAAAATCTGGAATCTGAGGGTGCAAAAAAATCTAAATATTGAGAAAATCATCTTTAAAGTTGTCCAAATGAAGTTCTTAGCAATGCATTCTTTACTTAATATCCTAATGATTTTTGGCATAAAAGAAAAATGGATAATTTTGACCCATACAATGTATTGTTGGCTATTGCTACAAATATACCCCAGCGACTTAACACTGCTTTTGTTCTCCAGGGTCACATATTATCCACCTTATTTTGCAGTGCATGAGCTGTTTTCTGTAAATGTGCCAGACTTCTGAGTCATTAGTGAATAACTGCAAGAATAACAAGCACAGCAAGCTATTGAGCAACAAAGCAGTGTGTTTATAATTACTACAATACATTTAAATAATATGATAACAAATAGCCAGTTTGCAATATTAAGCAGCATAACAGAATGTTTTTGTAAAATAATCAGATGCAAATGACACCGGAAGTCCTGTACATTTAAGTCACAAAATATTGGCCTAATATATATATATATATAGACCTATATGGCAAAAAGGTACCTATATGACTTCTTTCCGGCAAGATTTTGAAGTGTGCCAGTGTTTATATTTTATAGTTCATATTTGGTAAGTTGGCCTCAATTTCAAAATTAAATAACTGACTGCACACACTAAAGCAGCAAGAATGGAAAGAGAAATGTCTTTTCAAAAACATCAAATAACAGAAGTTCATAAAGCCTAAATTAGACCTCATTTGTTTACACGTTGGTTAATGCATTAACATTAACTATTAATGATGAGCAATATATTTATATGATATATATTATATAATGTCTGTTATTTTGATTGAAATTGTTCATGAAAAAAACACACTTTTAATTCATTCCAGAGCAAATGAATAAATATCATAAACCATAATAATAATAAAAATAATAATCTTGTAAAGAAATTAATGTTTAGGCACCAGGGCTGGCCAGTATAGATAAAGTTAGAAATGTTATGTGTATATATTACTTTTTATTTAAATGAATAGTTTTTAATGGATGCATTTTATTGATAACTTTTTTTAAATTGTATTTGTCTTGTCATTAACTAAAGTTTACAGATAAAGCTTTTGTTTTTTTACTAAGATTAATAAATGGCATAAATTCTCTGGAAAATAAAAAGTGTTATAAAGTTTGCTCAGACTTTACTTTAAAGCGTCTGCTAAATGACTAAAAGTACTTGAAGCTTTAATATTTAATGCATTATATAAGTACTTTATTGCATTCATTCTGATTTGTAATGCACCTTATAATGCATTTTATGATCTTGTGGATAATTGTAACCACAGTTATAATACATTATAATATTTATCTATTCATTGTTAAACCTTTAGAAAGTGCAATGCATTAAAACACATGAAAAACCAACCTTAAAATATTATAATGCATTTCAACTTAAATGTAAGTTACAATTATTTATGAAAACATAATGCATTACTATATGAATACCTTTATAATGCAATATACATAAAGATTTTAAATGGTACTGATTTTTTTTACTCAGAAAAAAATGTGTTGCATATAAACACAAAACTGTACATTTTAATAAATGCATGCAATTGATAACTTTGATAAAAATCCCATACTTTTATTTGTTTTACATTCATGTTAACAGATACAACTTTTGATTTTAAAAATGTATTAGTAAATGTTGACATTAACGTTAACTAAGATTAATAAATGCTATAAAATCTCTAAGAAAAAAATCTGGAAGGTTTTTCACTTATTAAAAAGAAAAGAACACACTTATTAAAAAAAACAGTTCACATTTACATCCGTTATTTACAAAAATAGCTTTTCACGCTGTTTATGGTTATCGTGACATTTCATAAAGTAGCTGAAATATAAAAATTAGTGCTGGGCAACGATTAAACGCATCCAAAATAAACGTTTTTGTTTACATAAAATATGTGTGTGTGTACTGTGTTTATGTATTATGTAAATATAAATACACACACATGCATGTATATATTTAAGAAAAATATGTTATGTTTATACATTTTAAAACATTTATATATATAATATCAATTATATGAATATAAATATATACATGTATGT